CAGCCAAAATTGCATGAATGGAACAAGAAATTCTTTGCAAGATTTCCACTATGATCAATGCCAGTGTATATCACTGTAGGCTCTGCTGTGCCAGAACTTGACACCAGCCAGGCGCATGAACATGAGACAACCTCAGTCCTCCATCCTATTCGGCCCTAACTGTCTCATATTTTGCATAAAGCTGTTATTATTAAATTTAAATGAGGAAGGCTGCTGCAGAGCAGTGGGACTGTGACCTTCTGAATACATTTGTAGAATGCAAATTTAAGCATCCTGTGACAGATCTGCCTCCGTCTGTCACCTTGCCATCTAGCATACACTATATAAACATGTGGTCTGGCAGTATTCACCACAATCACTTTCACCATTTTCCTTCTCAAGGTGGCTGATGTTACCCATTATATGGCAGTATCTCGATTCCAGATGGCTCTCGTTTCAGAAAGTGCTATAATAGTAACACCCTAGATATTTACTGGACAGTTTATACGGTGCTCCTTTCTGGGCCATCACAAATGAACCGTTATGTGCAAGAGGGCCCTGATTTTAGCTGTAAAGAAAACGCTCTATAATTAGAATGCAAAATCAAACCATACAAAGGCATCAGATGCGGGTGAAATGAATCATTTGGTATCATTGTTACTCATGGGGAATATGCAGTGAACTCTGGAACAAATCTATCCATCCAATACAAGGCCACATTGCTTTCATTTCGGTTCTTATGTTACGTCATTACTTATGTTTACTTATTACCTATGTTCTTGTATTACTTCCTTAAAATTTCCCCAAAATATTGCAGATTGTAACCTTCTCTAACATGTGATTTATCAGTTTGACTATTATTCCATTTGAACTACTGAAAAAAACTTAAACCTTAAAATCAAAACAATACCTTGCCTTCTATGATCCCTACTTGATCCCATGGTGAGAAAACTGACTATTGTTCAGGGTTATGTAGACTGCTGACAAGAGTATCACAGAATATTAAGCATAAGACCGCACAGAGCAAAGCACAGTGATTTAAAAAAAGAAAAGAACAGCGGCACTACTTTGTCTAGTTTTTTGTTTTGTTTAGTATGGAACAGGCTGAAGTATCAGCTCCATAGTTTTTGCTTTGTGTGTGTTGTCTTAATCATTTTAAAAGTGATTGGTACATATATCAATTACACAAGTACTGATAAAATAAGTATACAAATTCTATCAATTACATATGAATATAAATATGTGTGCTCATTAAGAGAATCTTTTCCGCTTATTTTTCCTGTCATGTTGGAGTAAAGTTAGTTCATGCTCTAATCTGCTTATTTTCTTCCAAGTACATATTATGAGGAAATGGGTAAGAAACTCTCTGGATCCTAAATCCTGCATGTGCTTAAAATGCTATATATTTGTGGTGTTTTTGCTTTGCTTATCAATAATTCAACTATATTAATATGGACTGTTACATGCATGCACACAAAGTTTGCCACAAAGCAGTCTCAGAGCAGTGGGGTTTGTATGCATTACAAGGTACCTAAATTATATGTCCAAATTTCTAGTGAAACTGACTGAACTAAGAGCACCTCAGTATTTTTTACCACTTTACCCATTTGCTTACTGTCAGCATCTACAGTCATAGGCAAAGTTTTCGGCACCCCTGCTTTTCTGTCGAATAACACACCACTTCTCAGAAAATTGTTGCAATCACAAATTCTTTGGTAATATCATATTTATTTATTTTGTATTGAAACAACACAGTAAAAAAGCCAAATCTGATCAATTCCACACAGAGCTCCAAAAATAGACTGGACATAATTACAGACACCCTCAACTTAATATTTGGCGGCACACCCGTTGGACAAAATAGTTGAAATCAATTGCCATCTATAACCATCAGTGAGTTTCTTACACCTCTCTAATGGACCACTCTTCTTTTGCCAACTGCTCCAGGTTTTCCAGATTTGAAGGGTTCCTTCTCCCAGCTGCTGTTGTGTGATTTCTCCACAGGTGATCTATGGGACTTAGATCTAAGAGTCATTTTTGGCCAATTCAGAACGCTCCAGCTCATTGAAACCATTTCTGGTGCTTTTTGAAGTCTGCTTTGGGTCATTGTCCTGCTGTAAGACCCATGACCTCTGGTGGAGCCTTGACGTTCTGACACTGGGCCCTACATTGTGCCCCAGAATTCTATGGTAGTCTTCAGATTTCATAATGCCACACACACAGTCAAGACAGTCGGTGCCTGAAGCAGCAAAGCAACCCCAACACATCAGTGACTGTGTTCTTTTCTTTGAAGGCCTCATTTTGTTTTGTGAAAAGAGTAGAATGATGTGCTCGACCAAAAAACTCTATTTTAGTCTCATCTGTCCACAGGACATTCTCTCAGAAGGACTGTCACTTCCTCAGGTAGGTTTTGGCAAACTCCAATCTGGCTTTTATGTTTCTGTGTCAGCAGTGGGTCCCCTTGGGTCTCCTACCATAGCGGCCATTGTCATTCAGATGGTGACAGATAGTGTGAGCTGACGCTGTTTCACCCTGTGCCTGCAGATCAGCTTGGATTTGTTTGGAAGTTGATCGAGGTTCTTTATCCACCATTGGAACAATCCTTCATTGTAATCTGTCATCTATTTTTCTCTTTCATCCAGGGAGATTAGCTACAGCACCATGGGCTGTAAACATCTTGACAATGTTGTGCACAGTGGACACAGGAACAGCCAGATCTTTGGAGATGGACTTGGAGCCTTGAGATTGTTCAGGTTTTTCCACTATTGTGGTTCTCACATCCTCAGGCAATTCTTTGCTCTTCTTCTCCATGCTCAGTGTGGTCCACACAACACAAAGGTTGAGTCAACCTTTTTCCATTTTAACTTGTTGCAAGTGTGAATTTTTTTTTTTTTTTTTTGTGTTTCCAGCATCTGTTGGTTGCTACAGGTGAGTTTCAATACAAATTAAAGGAGCATCACATGCTTGAAACAATTATTTCTGAAGATTTTGAAAAGGTGTCAATAATTCTGTCCAGTCCATTTTGGAGTTCTGTGTGGAATGGATCAGATTTGGCTTTTGTGTTCTCTACTTTTTGTGCTTCAATGCAAACAAAAAAAATAAACATCAAAAATACAAACAAATTTATGATTTCAACAACTTTCTGGCAGAAGTGATGTGTTATCTGACAGAAATGCAGGGTTGCCAATATTTCTGACCATGACTGTATATGCAGCTGTCAGGTAGTGTCAATTTTTTTAAACCAAACACTTAGTGAAGTAATTGTGTAGCATAAATCGAATATGATCGACCAAAACTAAGTAAACACACAGTAGGGTAGGAATAGCTTAATAGGTTGTGACTGATCAGATAGATCCTTTTGGCATTTATAAGCTGTTAGTAGTATACCAAATCACTGTCACACAATGCCGAAAAGTTCTGATAAACACAATACACTGTACAACACAGATAAAGCGGGTGATTAGCTAGTCAACATAAAGTACCATTTAGCAATTAAATAGCTTGATATCCTAGTGATGGTGATGACCTAAAGGATCTAAAAAGAGTGAATGTTGGATTTATGCTCATTTGGGGGATAAAAATAAGACTCCAATTAAATGCCAGTGTTTCTCCTTATTTGCTGAATGTGTAAATAATTAACAGTTTACATACAGTGATATGCCAGTGTTATGTTTATTTAGATCCCAGTTAGCTGTGCTAACAGCAACTTGTGCTGCTACCAATTGCCTAAATAAATAAACAAAATAAAATTAAATAAAAATCCGTCCAGTCTTAATATACAGCTGTAATATGTCCATAAGTAGTGTGCTAGTTGTATAATAGATGATGTGCATTTACATTCATCCATACTGGGACATGTGCAAACCAAACACAACAGACGATTTGATACTGACAATATGTACAAGATGTTGAAAAACAGCTACTCAATTAATCACTGTAGCTCACCAGATTTAATCAAAAATTCCAGTCAAAAACATGCTTTGCTCATTTCAGTCCATTGAAACTGTGTTGAGTGCTGTGGAGCTGCAGACGTGCACATACGGTGACAAGCATAAATGACTACCAAAAGATCCCAATCAGCCATCATAACCTGATTACAGGGGCCCAATTAAAAGCTTTGTGTAGCTCATAAAGCCTTGACATGAAGAGCAGACGCTTTACTCTGAGACTGTTGCGGAGGTTGTCACTGCACTGTTAAAAACATAGAAGAAGAGTCCCCTCGTCACTCTGCCGGCTGAACCGTTGCAACCATTATTATGAAGATGCAAAAAGACAATGGAAATTAAACTGAGATTGTTTATTTTGCATGCATAAATAACCATACAGAGTCACCCCACCATCCCCTGTGCCCATCCTCTCCATCAGCGCCACCACCACCAACCATCTATCTAACCTGTGGAAAAATCAAACACCTGCATAGGATCCCACGTCACCACTGGAAACAACCAACAGCACAAGACTGGTGAGAGTGAATAAGTGAGAGTCTAGATGTGTTTAGTGGCATTTGAAGTAACATGAATGTTAATTAGGGTAGATTAGGAAGCAACAACAGCCACCCTGGCAAAACACTGAGGGGAGAAACATGAAACACACTCCTGCTCAGCCTCACACCTTCAGCTGTGATATTTAGAGGTGGAACTTAGGTGTGCTTTCATCCATCCACTCAAACACATACTATTTACAGCATACAAAATTTAAAAATACCCCATGAAAAATATCTAAGCTCTGTACTGTACCTTCAGACATTACATGCACACATAGTGTGTGTGTGTTTAGTACAAACCCAGATTGCATAGCTCACAGCAAAATGAAACCCATCTAGATGACAAAGCACAAATAAGATCTGGAGTCCTCCTCAGTGAATAATTTTCCTTTCCATCTCTTGCATTTGCTTATGATACACAGTTTCATTCCTGACATTAATTTGCTCTCTGGTGATCCCCTGGCCCCACCACTGCACCATAATAAATCTGATCCAGTGCCTCAGTGCTCAAAGCCCACCATAGAGACCGAGTACTTACCAGGACTGCCATGCAGAGAATTCTAATTCAGGCATCTCCATGTTGCCAAGGAAATTCAAAATGCCTCTGAAAGCATGGAGACAGGAACGCAGGATTCAAGACTGGCTCGATTCAAATGGAAAAGGAGGATATATGCAGCGGTGAGAATCCCTTGTTTGAGGAGCATTTGAGAAATGCCTTCGTCCTCTCCAGATGCGCTAAATCTGGCAGCGCTGATAGGCTGACATATAAACACACAGGCGGCTCTGCTGGCTCACACACGCTCACATACATGCTGCACCTAGCAGAGACGGAGAGGAAGAGGGAGGGGCAGCTGATGAGAGAGGGAGGTGGAAGGAGGAGCTGCAGTGCACTGGGAGAAAGAGGCACAGGCAGCGAGTTAGAAAGAAATAGAAATATTCTCTGAACTGGCAGCATCATTAGCATCTGATTTTTGTTTACTTTAGTCTTCTTTATGGAGGGGTTGGATAAATGGATCAGATGATCTGGTTAACTGGAATACAAGCTGCTGCATTAGAGTGTTCAAGGTGTGTGTGTGTGTGTGTGTGTGTGTGTGTGTGTGTGCGTGTGTGGCGAAGGAAAAGAGGTTAGAGAGGGAGAAGTGTGAGTGTGCAAAGCAGAGGGCTAAAGATAAGCAAAACAGTGAAGGGTGATTATGAAGGGGAGGAGGGGGTGATGAAGCTACAGGGATATAGATTAAACAAAATTCAATTTTTGTAGTATGTAAACCTTTACTGGTAATAACAGCCAACTTGAGACAGTAAGGATGGATTTTTGTTTTTCATCATTTCTTGCCAGAGCTAAGGATTAATGCCACCTATAATGCAGATGGAAGCAATCATTAGACAAACTCACCTTTCCTACGAGGAGTGGGAGGTGGGTTTTACAAACACAAGCTTAACAGTGCTAATGGGCGTACGAGGCTGGCGCGCATACGCTGGCAGTGCCAAGGAGACTCCACAGACAGGGAGTATTAATGGGAGATTAGGGGACTGAGGATTTAGTAGAGTGGTGGACATGAAGGGCTCCTGGCCATAAACTGAACTGTGTGACAAATGTTGCAAACCTTAGTAAATGACATCTATATATTGGTTCATATATATAGTTCTGTATTTTATCGTTTAGCAACAGATGTATTTTATTTTAATTTCTGTTGTTTTGTTTTATTTCAGAGGCCAAGTTATGGGATATACTTTTACGAATAGAATCCGCCTTGCTTTTGTGCTAAATCTGTGAGACAAACAGCAGTACACAGAGCAGACGACAGCCGACGGTGGCTCTGCTGTACAATAAAACACAGAGGGGAAAGAATTATTCAGGCAGTTGGAAAAGGGGAGCACTTTACTCCAATACAACATAAAATAAATTTATGACTCATTTGGCCAACTAGGAGCTAATCTTAAAGAGATGACTTATGTTCCATATAAGAAATGAAACCAGATGAAAGCTGTGTGGTGGAGATTTGAATGGATGACACTAAGGGTAAAAACCACCCAACATGGAGCAGGATGAATTCATCGCTTTTTCTTTTTTTTTGTATTTTGAGTGTTACTGTCGCTACAATGGCCTCTTTAAAAAGATTGGATAGCTGATTCATGACATCTGCATTTACGGTCAATGGCGCTATGAATTTTCCTGTTTCTGTGGTAGTAGAGGAAGGCCTTAGAAACCATGTTATGACTCACAACCAGTGATTTGTGTCTGAGACAGTTAAAAATATGTTTGTATTGTGATGTTACAAAATTCAATCTCATGTTCAGTAGAAATTTGATTAGAGAAGAAGCTTTTTTTTAATTATAGCTAGAGTATGTGACTTTTTTCAGATATTTCTATTGTAAAAATCTGCTCCAAAACTTGTCTTAATGTGGAGAGGTGCTGTAATCCAGACTCATTGAAAACACTGGCAGCAGTGTGGAGAGATTAGCTTCTAAAAGGTTTTGAGTGGGATTGACCTCTCTAACCAAGCAGACATTTTCAGTTATTTCTGCTTGATCAGTAAGTTTTGTTGAATTCTCATGTTTAGTAATTTCACAATGACAAATATCTGAAGAGCTGGGCAGAATGATGGAGCTTAGCAGATCGTAGTAGAGCACAGTGGAGCAGAGAGAGGCTCCGGAGCGCTGGGCGGAGCAGAGTGGAGGGATTTGGAGTTTCATGCTAGCTCTATTGTAGCTTTAAAACACAAGCACTTTTTATTAAGATGCATTTTCCTTTTAGAATGGCAAAATACTTCCACGGAGCTACAGTTACTTTGTATTTTCAAAATTTTAATTTTACAAGAGAGAAAGCCTTTACTATAAGATGACAGAATGTGAGCTCAGGTATTGTGTCTGGTTGCTGTAGTGCATTTTTTCTCTTGGTTTTGGCGAGGCTGAGAAAAGCCATCACCTTCCAAACTATTTATATATGGAGCTTTGTTCTTACTGTATAGGCTCATACCGCGCCACCATGTGGAGACGCACAAAGCATTAGAGGCCTGCTGCGCTGACAGTTGTCAGGCTGTGACATGGACAATTGCTGCTCAGGGGGAAAGTTTAGCAGCCAGTTCAGAGAGTAACTTCTGGGTGTGTGTAGTGATCAGGATTTTCTCCACAAGTCTTATATATGTCTTTAAGGGTGTCAGCTGACCCACAGTTTAGACTGCCTCCTCCACATATTTAATTCACAAACTGAACAAATAACAGTATAGAAGCACAAAAATGCTGTGCAAGCTTGAAAATATCTGTGCCAGAATTTTTTAGCACTTCAGGGTTTGTGCATGTTAATCGTTGACTTAACTGTGACTCCACTTAGAGATGTTCTTCCCAATCACCTAAACCATTCATTATAAAAGACATATTTTTACATATACACAGGTGACATGTTAAAGGGAAAACCTAAATAAATGACTGGTCTCTTCCAGGAGGACAATTCTCCCATTCATAGGGCCTAATTGTGAAAATGATGTGACTCATATGCTGTGGCCTTCACAGTCACCAGCTCTCAACCCAGCTGAACACCTGGGGGATTCTGGATCGACGTGTTACACAGCTGCTTCTTCACCACCATCATCAAATGAGGGAATATGTTTGGAAGAAACGTGTTCATCCCTTCAGTGTAGTCCAGAGCCTTGTAGAATCAGTGCCAAGGTGCAGTGAAACTGTTCTGGCGGCACGTGGTGGCCCAACACCTTACTGAGACGCACTGTTGCTTTTTCCTTTCAATTGTCACGTCTGTACATACATTTGAAATCTACACTCACAAAATCAGTCTGAAGATTTAGCTGTTAATCTAGTGGCAACCTGGAGCGCTCTATTTTTTTTTTTTTTCTCAGCCAATCACAAAACCAAAACAGCTAAAAGATGCACTCTCCAGTTTATACATTTTCTCCATGTTCAGTGTTGACATTTTATTTCAGAGGAATTGTTGAGTTTCATATCAACACTGAGGTGGAAAAAAATGTCAGAGTTAGGTGATACTATTAGGTACTATGCTGATATCACAGAGTCATAGCTAACAATCTAAAACCCAACCAAACAAGCTGTGACTAGTATCCCTGTATCCGCTGAGTCAGCAGCTGAAAACAAAGGACACAGATGATAAAGTCAAAGGAAAGGCAGCGTTTCAACATGGAGCACGAGGGCTTGCCCTGTCATCTACTCTTAGAATTAGTAGAAATGTACCTATCAGTGCAAATAGGTCAATGTGACACAGTTTGGTCTGCATCAATTTGGTGCAACTCTACTATACACCATAATAGCTATGAAAAGACGCTTAAGGATATGGCCGCTGACTGCTTTGTTGGTGTTAAAGTGTATTAGGGTTGATTTTTTTCCATTAAGCCTGATCAGTGAGGATTTCACACCAAACCGTGTTCTGTATACGTTGTCAGACCTGACATCTCAGGGTATAAGTGTCTATGAGGCAGCTGCTAACACGTGGCGGGGGTTTCTCAAAATACACACAGCAGCTTCCCCTTCCCCTCAGCCTGTCTCTGCAGAGAAACTGCTACGGCCCTATGAAGAACCACACTGTTCAGAGAGCACGAGTGATCGGCTATAAAGAGCTTTCTGCTGCTTTCACTCAACATTGCACATGGAAGCCTGAAGGTCAAAAGAGTTATACTGATTTGTTTGACATGTTCAGTCATGATGATAAGGTACCGTAACCCATGAGTTAAAACAAAGAGCTTTAGAAGATGTTAGATAGACATTAGGTATATAGGGCCTTAGAAAATGAGGTGGTTCTGTGCTCGCAGCTCTGAAACATCATTAAATAATTCATGCGTGAGGTTTATTTACCTCTGCTACTTTCTCAGGCTTAAAGAGAAAAGTCTGAGTTGGTCATATTTGACCTCCCTGGCTCCATTACTAAAAACTTTTATCTTTGACATAGTTATATTTTTGATAAGTTACCTAGACAGTCCAGTTGAGAACAACGTAAATAATTTAACCTGTAGAGCATATTCATGCTGTTTTCATTTTCTGCTGCCTTGACTTGGTTCTTAGCCTGTCTTTTCTCACCAATCTGCACGTACGGGTAATTGTCAAACAATGCTACTGCAGCAGTTCTTACCGGCAGCAAAACAAGAGAAAATCTCTCTCCTCTGCTGGGCTCCTCACAGTCTTCCAGTGCATCAGAAAATTGATTTTAAAATGGTTTGAGTGACAGCAGAGGAAGCAATTGCAATTTGAGCATGTTTCACATTGTTCAAAAATTAAAAACAAACTGAAATGCTGCTGGGTACTTCTTGGTCTCATTGATGCATTTTGTGGGTTTATACAAAAGCAAACAAATCTGTACTGTGCCTTAGCCTAGTTTAATACAACTGTATCCCACAAATGTTTAAATGAGTAGATGAGGTAGCCATTTGACGAGCATGTAAATCCTTAAAGCTGCTCTAATCAATATGTTTTATGAGATGACTAATCAGTGGGGTCATTCGGGGAGGTCAACACACATACTTGTTTCCTGACTACCCTCAGCTTGAGCTTTTTACCATTTTTGGGTCATTGTTTTGGTTTGACGACACACAACATTCGGGTCAGTCTCACAGCTTGATAAACCCAACAGAAAGACAAAGTTAACTGTTGAGTATTAGTGGAGTGTTTAGCAGCTAAATAACTGGATATCTCCCCCAGGAATTTGTAGAGATCAAGAACACACCTAATAGGAGAGTAATTATTGGGCTTAATTTTGCTACATGGTCCGACTCTAAATGAATGCTAATGCTGCTCCTGGTTCAAATTAAAGAATACATGTTGCATGTTACAGAATTTTTTATTATTATTATTATTATTCAGAAAATG